AGAAGGGGATAGTGACCAAACTTGCCAGAGGAAATACCCAAGGAATTTATATAAGTATTTGGATGCTCTTCTGCTTATAGTCTCATTAAATGTAAACTGAAGTAGCCATAGAGGCCAAATATTATCATTCTGATGTGTATGTGTTTAGCTTGACTGTTATTAAAGGAACAGTCAGCTCAATATAGTTTCACAGTTTACTGGAGAGGTCAGCAAACTTTCTGTAAAAAAACAAATAGTAAATATGCTAGGCTTTCTGGGCCATATTGTCTCTATCACAACTAGTCAACTCTGCCACTGTAGGATAAAAGCAGTCATAGGTGGTGATGGTTATTTTTAGGAGTTAACTTAGTGAATACAGAGTATCAAGTTATTTAATCAAACATTGATTTAGGCATTGTTGTGAAGAGATTTTATAAATGTGCTTAACATTTACAATATGTTGACTTTAAGGAGATTATCCTTGATAATATGATGGCCTCATCTAATCAGCCTTGAGAGCAAAAATAGCTTTTCTGGAGAAAAAATTCTGCCTCAAGGCTATACTTATCCCTGCTTGTTGGAGTTTCTGGCCTTCTGGTCTACCCTACAACTGTGGTAGCCAATTCTCTAGATACAGAGATAGGTAGTACTATTATGTACTATTTGTTCTGTTTCTCTGGCCAACCCTAATACATAGACAATATGTAAACATAGCCGGCCTGTGTTCCAATAAAACTTTTTACAATAATAGGGAGTGAACCAGATTTGGCTTGTATACTATATTTTCCCAACCCCCAGTACTATTAATAATAAAAGATACTTGCTTTTGTTTAAAACCATGTTTCAGGCAGTGTGAAATGTGCTTCACATATTAATTCCAAGTGTCTAATAAATTGGTTATTGCTTCTTATCAGCTCATATATTTTGGAGTAGCTATATGAGCAAAAATGATATTCCTAGAACCAGTGAGCTCTTGATCATGAGCTTAGGTATAAGAAAGGGTTTCTCAGAGAGGTGGGTTGTATCCACCCCCCCATTTTTTTCAGTGAGGGTTTTAAAATGGTACTCTCTTTACTTGTTTTTGTATTGTTTCATCTATTAGCTTTGGGGATTGAAAATTATTGCAGCAGAAATCAACCAACAGAGTGTCTTGGATGTTTATTTACTAAATGTGGTACCTTTTGATCAAACTCAAATTTCTAAGATTACCTTCAATTTAGGGAAAAATTAAAATTCATTAAATCACTAAATCAGGGGTTTATCATTTTTGGAATGAAAGGGATTCCTCACATCAAAGATTTAAAGCACAGAATCTTTAAGTAAGAAGAAGAGTCCTACGGGCGCCTGGGTGGCTCATTCGTTTAAGCATCTGCCTTCAGCCATGATCTCAGGGTCTTAGGTTGAGCCCCCTGTGGGGAATCTGCTTCTTCCTTTCCCTCTGACCCTCCTCCCAGCTTATGCTCTCAAATAAATACATAAAATCTAAAAAAAAAAAAAAAAAAAAAAAAAAAGAGGATGAGTTCTCAATCTATGATTGAATAATATTACATATTTAAAATTATCTATACCTTGGGGCACTGGGTGGCTCAGTCAGTGAAGCACTCAACTCTTGCTTCCAGTTCAGATCATGACTCGGTCGTGAGATCAAGGCCTGTGTCAGCTTCACTCAGTGTGGTCAGCTTGGGATTTTCTCCTTCCCCAACCCCATGCATGCTTGGGTGTTCTCTCTCACTCAAATAAATAAATACAATCTTAAAAAAATAAAATTACTCATAACTTTTTTAAAAAAGATTTTATTTATTTAACAGAGACACAGCGAGAGAGGGAACATAAGAAGGGGAGGGGTACAGGGGGAAGGAAACAGGCTCCCCACTGAGCAGGAAGCCTGAAGTGGGGTTCAATCCCAGGACCCTGTGATCATGGCTTGAGCTGAATGTAGACGTTTAACCGACTGAGCCACCCAGGTGCCCCAAATTACCCATAACTTTAAATAGTTGATTCCCAAATTGGTTGATGCTACAAGGCTTCCTTTCCAGGGATTAAGATTTCCATTTAAGAAGAAATTGGCATCCTTTCTCTTCAACTCAGGGACCTGCCTATAACCACTCTTTTCTCATCCCCAGTATTACCTCCTGTAACTCAAAAGTTTAAGAAATAACCTACATTTAAAAATGATTTGATTTATAAAAAGCAAACATGACCACACTTTTTCAAGATCACATTGTTTATTCAAAGTGAAGAGTATCTATAAGATTGCCCTCACATAGAGAAACTTCTTAGAAGGTTAGGTTGTAGAATGACAAAAAATGAACACTGGAACTTTTTTTTTTTTAATTTTTTTAAGATTTTATTTGTTTATTTGACAGAGATCACAAGTAGGCAGGGAGGCAGGCAGAGAGAGATGGGGAAGAAGCAGACCCCTGCCGAGCAGAGAGCCCGATGCGGGACTCGATCCCAGGACCCTGAGATCATGACCTGAGCTGAAGGCAGAGGCCTAACCCACTGAACCACCCAGGCACCCGACACTGGAACTTTTACATTCAATATCTGAAAGAGAATTTTCTAAGCTATTAGATAGTTGAAGAAATGTTTAATCATAAGAGGAAAGGGCTCTTATAACCATGACCAAATGACAAATTTATAAAGTAGAAGGAGGAAATTCATAATAGTAAATAAGAGCCTAATTAGAGAAGAAGCCAAGTTCAGAAATGGGAACCAATATGAGTGGTGTGGGCAAGTGAACCAAGATCTTTAGATACAAAAACGTATGTCAGAGTTGGTCCAAGGACAAAAACTTTAGCAAAGGAAGGTCAATTAGGAGAATTTTCTGGGGAAAACAAAAAAAAAGACAATTATGGAGTCTAAATTGGTCAAACAGTTCTGAATTCAAAAATTTTGCCTGTCAAATCATTTTGTACTGATTTTTAGTTCAGAAAATATAGTCACCATTGTAACTCATCTGCATCCACAATTTCCATCAAATTGTCTTTAACACAGGAAAATCTCAATGATTATTTCTTAATAATGATAATTACGTGGAAACTCAAATCAGAGAAGGTATTTTAAAAAACAATATCTAACCATTCTTAAGGAATAAAAACATAGTTATCAGTGATCTTTATCCAGTTACTAGGGTCGCTAAGAAATTAGAGTCTGGAAGGTATGTTTTGCACAGAAAATTGGTGCCACACTCACCTCCGCTGATATCATCAGTTCTGGGTGGGGAGGAAGCCATAATCTGCCAAAATCTGAACCATTCTTGCCAGGTTTGGGGGTTCTGTAGAGAAGTTACTGCTACCAGGTCTGACTGCCATAGCTCAGGAAAATGGTACAGCCATTCCTCTTAGCGTAGAAAATACTTGAGATGATGTTTAAGGGACCTATAAAACATTAAGCCCCAGAAACACAGTATTAGCAGTGGTTTAGACATGGAATACAATAGGTAATAGTTACGGAGTGCTTACTATGTTCCAGGAATTGATGACTATCTCATTTAATCCTTTCAACAACCCTATGGGGTACGAGCATTGTTATCAACCCCATTTTACAGAAACAAGTTTCAGCAAGGTTAAGGAATTGCTCAAGACAAGAAAGGTAGTAAGATTAAGAGGCACAACTAGGATTTGTACTCATGCAGTCTGGTGCTTCAGGTGTGTGTATCAATCAACAGCCACAAAGCTAGAGGTATATTCAAACAGGCTGAGGAAAAAAATGTGTTTCCTAAAAAGGACAAATTAATTTCCTCTAAAGTAACATACAAGGTGCTCTTTAATTCACATCCTGAAAAGATAGACTGGCATTTACCTTCCAACTTTAAATGGTAATAAGCTTTAAATTTTTAAAATTTACATTTTACAATTTATTTATAATAGTGAAGCATGGACAATCTGTAATCTCCCAGAGTGAAATGGGATAAGTGATAGTGCATTCCCTTCAGATGAAATGACAAAAAACAAACAAACAAACAAAAAAAACATATAAAACTCATACGTCATTAATTAGAATTACTTGAATGCAATGCATTGCTTAAAACCTAATAAAATAAGTCACTTTAAAAAATCAGGTGCCCTGAGTAAGCCTACAAGTTTCAGTAGCTTATCTTTACCGGTAAAGAACTCTACGTTTGATAAATTATTCAAAATACGCACAATATCACCTGAATCCACGTAGTATCTAAATCCACATAAATTATGGCTTTCTTCTCTTACTCCCTTTTATTTTTTACTAATCCTTTATATATTAAGTTTACCACACTTAGAGGTTTTTGGAAGTTTCGCCTAATTTTAACCAGACCATTTACCTCACAATTTTCTTCCAAGTGAATTTTTACTGCAAAATCTGTAGCTACACTATCAAAGATAGGTACCAGGATTTTAAAAGACTAACTGCAAAAGTACATCACCACCAAGACTTAATGACCACCAACAAGGAACGGTCCCGGAGAAACCGGCTCCTACCCTGAAAGGGGAGGGCTCGCAGACCACAAGCAGGGCGGGAAGGGAGCGGGAGGAGGGGAGGTCGGATGAAGCAGTGCTTAAGTCAATAAACATTCGCTGCGCCACTTACCAAGAGCCAAAAAAAAAAAAAAGAAAAGAAAAAGAAAAAAATAGCTGGGCGGTACTTCAAGCAGTGGGTCCTGCAGCTTTGCGGGAGGAGGCAAGAGCCTGTAGCGGGGACTCGGGCGCCTGGGAGCGGTAGGGCTGGACCAGAACCTCCAGCCAAGCAGGCGAGGGCGGCCAACCAGGGACAGGCCTCTAGCGCCCAGCTCCCGGCGTCCGCACCCTTACTGGCCCAGCCGCCAGCCCGCCAGCCGACCCGCCGCAGCTGCTTACCAGTGGCGCCTCGCTGTCCCCCCGGGGGCAGCCCTTCAACGGTTGCCGCAGTCAGAGCACCACCCCGCGGTAGGGTACGTCGAGCCAGCCCGCAGCTCTCGGGTCCCCGCAGCACCGCCCCTCTCGCGAGAAGTCGGCGGAGCCTGTGAAGTTGGGGGCGGGGGAGAAGAAGGGAGGGGCTTTCAACGGTGGAGGCTGGTTCTGCGCCGGATCCGGGCGAGGGGCGGGCGCCATTGTGTTTCTCTGCGGAGTGCTCTGGTTTATTTAGGGGCCCTGATCTCCGAGGAAGACGGCGGTGGTCGCTTCGAGCAGGACGCGCCCTGTACAGTGCCAGCTCGGGAGCAGGGGTAATAAGCTGCGGCGCCCGGGCTTCTCCCTCTGGGGGAGTCGGTTCTAACCAAGGCCGCGTGGGGGAGGGGAGGAAACGAAGTGCAGGCCTGGGGACGCGGAGGCTGCTTCCCTCGTCTTTAGTTGGGGCGGAGGAGCGTGATCGGCGCCGCGGTTACGGAGGGCGGCCGGGCGCAGGCCTCGACCGGTGGCCTTTTCGTCTCGTGGTGGAGTTTGTGACGGGTAGAGGGGCAGATTGTACGTCTTCCTGATGAACGTGTGGTCGGCGAGGGCAAGGGGTTTGGGTACTGCTTTGGCCTTTGGCGGCCTCCTCTTGGATGGGGGTAAGGAGGATCCTCCGGAACCCTGCGGGCTGGGAGTGTCACGAGTGAGGTATTTAGTGAGCGCCGTGTGGAGGGCGGGGAGAGTTGGGACTCCGCCAACTCGGTCTCCAGTTGAAGGGACTTTGCCAGCCCTTAAGTTGCGGTGAAGATTTGGTCATTGATCGCTCCATTTCTTGACTGTCGTGTTACTTTGGGAGTTTTGTGTCGTGGGAAATTGTATGTCCTTCAAATTGAAATAGTTGATGGTATATATATAAAACGGACCTGTTGGCCTAAGAAGTGAAAATCTGGAAGGCATCAGTTGTAGATATTCTCTCATTTTGATGGAACTGCGTAGTGAAGATGAACACGTACGGAGAAGCACCATAAAATACTACAATTTTTTTTTTTCTACGTGCACATGTAGATAGTAATAAATGGGGAAAATCTGTCCCGGTAGTGGATTCGTCACCACTAGTGTCGTTTGGCACTACTGAGAGTAAATGTGTCAAAGTGAAATTGAATTTAGTAAGGTTTTTTTTTTTTTTTTTTTGTAGGACTTTTTAGAGTTTTTTTTTTTTTTGTAAATTATTTTAAACTTCCCGAACTCCTTTCTCACTTTTCTGTCAAGAGCTAAGGTAAGGTTAAAAATGAATTTTTGACTTAAAAACCAAACAGTATACTTTTGTTAACAAGGCAAACACATGGTGTAACTAGATTTTTCAAGAGGATAAACATTTTGTTTCAGGAATGGGGATCAGTATTTCATTTACAGCTCTACAGCCTCTTGTGAAACAGTTGTGGTGTCTGAGGGATTTAGAGTCAGAAGATCTGGGTTTGGGTCTTAATTTTGCCATAATTATTTAACCTGTGTTTTCTTAGAAACATAGCACTTTTCCTTGAGTTGAGGTGGGAATTAGATTAGGTGAGGTAGCTGATAGTAGTCGAACACCTAGGGGAAGTAATGCTCTGGGAATGAATTTTTAATGGATATAAAACAATTGGAATTGATATCTGAAGTCCAGTTGTTTATATTCTGGTCAGAATAACATTAAAATTTTACTCTGCCTGTGGTACCCTTTCCCTCCAATAATGTAAGTTCCATACTACAAATGTTTTTAGATAAGAACTTTTAAAACTTTTCCTTTGCTGTAAATTTATGCCACAGATGTAAGCTTGTGGGTATGCATGGTCTTGACTTTTTTTCCAAAGTTGCATGCGGGTTCAGATGTCTTGAATAAGAATGATTAAAAATTCCTACTTACTTAAATACAGGTGATTACTCTTTTGCTGCACTGGCAAGAGAGCTTATTGTCCAAGATAAAGCACATAGATTCCCTTATATAGACATACACCTATGTTCTACATGAAGATGTCAGATAATCAACTGACACGTCATCCATGGCTCTCATACAGCCAATTTTTAATGAGCTCCATATCCATTTCACACAACTCTTCATCTCCTGTATGTTTAGGAGTTGCCCATGTTTTAATATTTTAGGAAAATAATAGTGCAGAATTATCAAATTATGTGAAACATTTTTTGATAATTTGTTATTCATTGTATTCTGGCTACTAGACCAAGGCTTCATGTTACAAGAATGCGCTTGACACAACATCTGCCTTCCACAACTCACAGTTCAGTCATGAGACTAATGTATAAACAACTACCACTATTATCACAGTGTAAGAACATAGTAGTACTGTGGGAGCACAAAAATTGAACAAAGGCTCAATCTTTGGGGAAATTTTTTACAGGAAGTGTTGCTTGAACTGAGATGTTAAGGTGACTAGCAGTTTGATAGGAAACTGCAAAGTCATGGTACGGTATTTTGTTTTAGGAATGGACAGTTTGTTACCATAACTGCAACAAATTAGAAGGTGACATGAAAGACCTACTGTTTCAGAAAGTGCTCTGTGCTGTGGGAATGGAGAGTTATTGTGTCCCTAAGCCCAATAAAAATGATTTTTAGATTATCTTTACTGACAGCATCCTTCTGTTACTGCAGATAATTAAGTGCCAGTAATGAAGAACAGTGGGAAATGCATATGTGGAATGCAGACTGAAATGCTTGCGTTAAACCTTATTTTTTTAAAAAACAAATTTAACTTAACTAGTGAATGTTTTAACTCTTACATTTAACAGAATTAACTGATCACATTAGGATTACAACATAAAATAGATTTTGAATTACTTGTAAGATCTATTTTAAATCACTAAAGCAAAATTCTGTTGTAATGATTTGTAATAACAAATCATTATTTTATAGAGACTCTATCTTTAATACAATTGCTAATAGTAAGGTGAACCCAAGGGTGGGTACAAAATTCTAATTTGAGCGTGGCTGGGGTTTAATTTTCATTGATCTTAACTTTTCTATTCTGGTCTGAACTCATGTGGTCAAAACTGGTTTTTCTTGCTCTCAAATACATTTCTTTGTGGCTCTACCAGTTAAACTACATGTTGAACATCTGGTTTTGAAATCACCTACTGCTCTACACCCAGTTTTGTCAACAGGTTTAGAAGAGGGCAAATTTTGAACCTTAAAAGCTAGGTTCTCACCTTTTATTAGGATCTTTGCACTTCAGTGTAAAGTGTTTCTCCCCTTCCAGAAAAAAAAAACTGTAACATGGTGTCCACTCTGAATGAAGATTGAAACTTGACATTTACAGATTAAGTATACTTCAGATGAGAACAGATTGTTTTATAAAGTAGCATAGACTTAATAGTCATATTTTCTCGTGAAGACATTAAACCTTTTTCTGATTATTATTTCAGGCATGGGTATATCTTTGTTTTAAGTATCTGTCATCTAAAAACGCAGAGGCTTGGGGCTCCTGGGTGGCTTAGTGGGTTAAAGCCTCTGCCTTCAGCTCAGATCATGATCCCAGGGTCCTGGGATTGAGCCCCACATTGGGCTCTCTGCTCAGTGGGGAGCCTGCTTCCCCTCCAATCCCCCAGCCTCTCAGCCTACTTGTGATCTCTGTCAAATAAATAAAATCTTTAAAATAAAAAAGAAACAAAAATGCAGAGGCAGTTTTTAAGAAGACTTTCTGTCTTCTAACATAGCTTCCACATCTCCGTATTCACTAGGATCAATAAAACACTCGCATTTCCCATTTAAGTATATATCTGTTTTTTCCTCCAGAAGCAAATTTTTTAAAGAAAAGGCTATAACAAATAGAGGTAAATAATGGAATTATGTTTACAATTCTGAAAGACTAGTGGCTATTAGAATACATAAGTATTTTGTCTGGTAACTCTGGCCTTTCATGCCATGAATTTATTGTATAGTAGTATCGTGCTCTTGATAATTCACTAACTTCAACTCCCTTAGATGTTTGACAAATTCTGAAATAGAATCCGATTTTTCATAGAAACTGGGTACATAAAGCGAAAAATTAAAACTAGGATGAGTTATGAAACTTGATTGCTTCGTAGGAAACCACCTCAAAACCTAGTGGATCAAAACTGCTGTTTACTATTACAATTCTGTGTACCTATTAATCAGTTCTGTTGGTTTTGCCAGGGTTCACCCATGGACCAGCATTCATCTGTAGGATTTCTCAGACTGGAAAGTCCAAGATGGTGTTACTCACATGTCTCATTGTTGGTATTCGTTGACATTTAGGCTTTACTCCATGTGGCCTAATGACACCTGGGTCCCAAGACAGCATTCCAAGAGAGTGAAAGTGGAAGTTACAAGACTTTTACAGCCTTTCAGATTGTACAGTGTCACTTAACACTTCATTCTCTTAGTCAAAGTAAATGTCACAAGACTAGCCCATATTCAAGGGGTGGGAAAAAGTAAGATTTTACCTCCAGCCACATCACAGTATAAAGAGGAATGTGTACTTGGATGGGAGAAATTTGGAGCCCTGTTTTGTAATTTACCACAAGTTGCTTAGAACAGTTTTTAGTCCAGGCAGTCTTACAGACGTCCTGATTGGGATTTGCTTTAAAATGGAGGATGATAAAATAGATTATAATATAGGTCAGATGTTGATAATTGTTGGAGACTGTCGATTGGTACATGGAGGTTTATTACTGTTTCTAGCATATGTTTGAAATTTTTTATAGTAAATTTTTTAAGGCATACTTGGGTATTTGAAACATTTTTGTGAGTGATTTTAACCTACTTAATATTTACTAGAATAGTACCTCTTTGTTTAATATTTATTTCTTTTGTGGTATGTGGACACTAAAGAGGGTAGACCAGTAGTACTGCAATTTAGGGACTTACTAGAAGTTCTTTATAGATTTTATTAGAAGTTATTGAGAAAACACGTCTTTTCATTTGCAAATAACTGTTTCCCTTAATTATAAAAGAAAGACCAGGGGCACCTGGGTGGCTCAGTGGGTTAAAGCCTCTGCTTTCGGCTCAGGTCATGATCCCAGCATCCTGGGATCGAACCCCGCAATGGGCTCTCTGCTTCGCAGGGAGCCTGCTTCCTCCTCTCTCTGCCTGCCTCTCTGCCTACTTGTGGTCTTTGTCTGTCGAATAAATAAATAAAATCTAAAAAAAAAAAAAAAAGGAACACCAAGTACATTAATGAAATTTTGGAAAACTGAATATAAAGCAGAAAACAAAACCCAACCAGAGAGAACAGTAAAATATTAATAATGCTTATTTTTCCCAATTTTTTTCATACACTTAAGTAGGCAAGGTATTTTTTTAGATAATAATCCTCCCATA